CTTGGCCCTTCGAAGTCAGCCACGAGGCCTCCGGGGAGAGTGAGTTTGACACACGTGCAGTGGGGGGTCCGGGCAACGAAGAGTGTGGCCCCCAGGCTGGCCCTCCAGAGGAGCAGAGGAGGGCGGGCCGCACCCCCTGCAGGCCCCGAGCAGCCTGCCCGGCTCTCCCCCCACACCCCCGGGGGCCTCAGCGGCCTCGCTTCGCACAGTAGGCCCGCCCCGAGAGCTGCGGTTTCCTGCCTCTCCGATCCCAGGCCTTCTGAGGCAGAAAATGCGGACGGCGATCTGTAACAGAGGCGTCTGTTCGGGGGCTGCTGAAATGGGGTGGGGGTTTGAAAGGCGTGTCCCCGTGGGCACACGCTCATAAGCGTATGTCACAGTCATAGAGTCGTCTCTTCAGCGGTTGTTAGGGTCTGCAGTGTACAAGGCCTGGGCCTACCGGGGGAACCAGGGTCCCCGCCTGCCGGGAGCTCACAGCCTAGTGGGGCAGGCCGGTGCACACGCCGGTGCCGGGAAGCAGGGCGCCCCGGTGAGTTCTCCGAGGAGAGCAGAAGGGGCCTGGGGCTGGAGGAGCCCCCGTCTTCCCTGACGGGCCTGAGGTCAGCCCGGCCCAGTGCGTGTCTCCCAGTGGCCCCACCTATCTTCTGGCGGCTTTGGTCGTATCCTGAGGATCAGCTCTAGCTCTTCCCGGAAGCCCCCCGGGGCCCGCTGGTCCTCCGAGCCAGGCGGGCAGAGCATTGAGGCCACACCTGCACGTGCGCCCGTGGCGTGGGGCCGCCCGTGGGGAGGACACGGGAGTAGGCCTCCTCAGGTGAGTAAAGGAATTGTGTACGCTCCTGTTCTTAAAAAAATAGTTGAGCCACTCAAAAATAGTCTTTTTAAAAATAAAATACTTGCGTCTCGCACTTCCTTTCCTCACATGACACGTGACTTAGACAGGTGAAGCTTCTGCAGCCTTTGGGTGTGTGCGCGTGGCCCGGTTTGCGTCTTAGCCACGTGGACTGGCCGAGAGGCAGCTGGCCGCTCGCTCGGAGCTGAGCGGCAGCGTCGAAGCTGGACAGCCGTCAAGACTTTATTCAAAGCAGGACAGGAGCCCAAAGGGATCATGAGCAAGACGAGTCCGGAGTGGAGTAAACGCGTGTTTTCCCGCGCTCCGGTCCCACCGGTGGGCTTCACGTACGCGGAGGCAGGCGAGCGCCGTTCACACGGGGTAAAAAGAAAAAACAGGTTTTTTGGTTAACCACAAGTTCAACGTGAACCTGAATGTTAAAAACAACAGCAGAAAAAGGAACCCGTGGCTGTGATGACAATAAGAAGAATGGTTATTGGTGCTTGAGTACCTACTAGGGGCACGCGCCCCTAAAAGGTGTGGGGGGGTGCAAGATGCCCCAGGTCACGTGCGGTTCTCCGCACAGCACCTGGCCCTGCCTCCCACCGCGGCCGCCGGGGAGGCCCCCCGCCCCCGGCATCCCACATCCCCTTCCTGAATTCGCCCGCGCCTGCGTGAAAGCTCTTCGCCTCCAGGCACTCAGCACTTTCTTCAGAAAGCCTCCCCTGGGCCCCCACCCCCCCCCCCCGGCCGAGTGGGGTGTGTGATCATCTGCCCCGCTTCCGAGCAGCTGTGAGCTCGCTCAGGGCAGCAGCCAACACCCCCACCCCTGCACCCCTAAGTGTTCTTCGCTTGCTGGCGTCTGTGGTTATCAGACTGGGAGGCGACGGTCGTGCCCGGTCGCAGGGTCCAGACGCTGGGAACATGTGGCACACCAGGACTCGCTGGAGGAGAGTGACGGGGGGCAAGGGGGCGCGTAGCCTTGTCGTGTGTGAATAAAGGAAGGAAGAACCGGGATGCCCCTTCCGTTGTGCCCTGGTCTGTCATGGGCCACCCAAAACACCTCAGTGACCTGGAGGGCAGGGAGTGGATGCCACAGAATGGGAGGGGTTGCCTGACAACCGAACCATTTCACAACAAAGCGCGCCGCCGTGGAGGGCAGTGAGTTCCCCTGCCGGCAGAGCCGCGGTGTGCACTTGGGGCTGCTGGGAAGGCACGGAGCGTTGGGCCCGAGAGTGGATTTGGCTGTCTCAGGGGTCCTCTTCAGCTCTGAGACTCTACTGGGAGCGTTCATCGGGCACCCGTTCCGTGCCGGGTTCCAGGGTCACGGCAGGGAATGCGGCAGGCGTGCCACCGCCCTGGGGGAACCTGCACTGTAGCAGGGTGTGTCACCTTGGGTCTTGCAGGAAGCAGACACCAAGACCCCACAGGCTTCCGTGGAGGGTGGAGGGAGCAGGAGCTTGTGCAGGGCGGGCCCCAGGCCAGGGTGCAGGTCTGACGGCTGTGCACGGCGAGAGGGCAGGAAGGAGGGCTGAGCAGGGAGCGTCTCAGCCCACGGCACACGGGCAGGTGAGACAGCTGAGCCAGGGTCTCCCCATCGAAGAGTCCCGTGTCGGCTGGGAGTGGCCGGCCCTGGTGACCCTGCCCCGTCCGCTCATTGGCAGAGAGCGACCTGACGAAGGCCGGCCTCTGTGCAGATGTGGTGGCCGGCCATCCAGAGACGTGGCAGCTGAGCCCATAGGCCACCCGTGCTCCACAGCAGGCTCTCTCCCAGGTCCGAAAGGCCCGCTTCCGTGGCGCCACCCAGGGGTTCGAGAGAGCAGTGCCCGGTCACACAGCGCCTTCCTGGGCTTCTCTGGCCGCTGGCCAGCATGGGCTGGAGCTGGGGTTTCAGCCCGCAGGCCTCTGACCTAGATCCCAGGCTGCGTCCCAGGCCCTGTCCCATCCCAGCACGGTGTCTGGAGCACACACCTGCTTGCCCAGCGTCACGTGGAAGCTAAGTGGGTCGGTGGCAGTGAGTGACACGGCTTAGCCCAGAGCTTGATGTCTGGTCAGTTTGCACTGGAATGAAGCTGTGATTTAAACCAAGGTCTGTCTGATTCTGGGCACAGTTTAGCTTCTACCAGACTTCGTGAGGACAGGGCCCAGGAGACTTTAAGCAAGGAGAAGGGCAACTCTCCTAAGCGTATTCTCTTCAAAGACTTAACAGATGTGGTTTCAGCCTCCAAAAGGCAGAGGAAGCAAACTGTTGATTTCTTCCCCCCCCCTGCCAGTAACAGTAGTACGGCTCTCTTCTGGGAAGGCCCACGTGTCTTCTGCTCGCCACCGATTTCCCCTTAAACACATTCTGAACCGTGGGAAAACCAACGCAGCACGATTGCACCCCCAAAAAGCCATTATGATTTGCTTCTGATGCATCTGTCCGCAGACAGAGCCCTCAGCACAAGGCTTGGACACCCGATGACAAGTGTACCCCAGACTCCGAAAGCCCAGGGCAGAGCTGGGGGTCAGCGGCAAGTCTGAGGCCCAGCGTAGGCTCCCCACGTGGGTGTGACCCCCAGCACTGGCAGGTGAAGTCACTGCCGCACAGCCATGGGATGCGCAGAGGGGTTCGTGGGCAGGGAAGTGAGGGGAGACGGATAGAAAGGCTAATGTGTGCACTGTCCACTGAGTTGTGGTTATGACAATCTGCGTACTGGACCCCTCGCCACTGGGGAGCAGAGCTGGGTCCCGGGGTGCTCAGCCTCTGGGGCACGCGGGCGCTGACCGTGTCGGCCGAGTTGAGGTTTCCAAGTCACCGAGGGCCCATCTCCTAAAAGCCACTGAGTTGCCACCCAGTACCCACTGGCACTGGGGAATGGGACCTTTTTAGAATATTGTGTATCCCTGCCTGAAATATGGTAAGGGGAGCATAATGCGACACTTCTGACAGCCCAGTCTGTTGTCATGACAGTCCATTGCGGTGCACACTTTAACGTCTACTAAATTAAATGTAACCTCCGTTTCTAGTTCCGATCGCCGTGTTTGCGTGGCCTCGCTTTCTGATGGCGGTCACTGCTCACTGTTGCCGGCGCAGCTGCCTGTAACAGACATGTATCGTTTTAACCGGGGGTGCAGGCGTGCCGCGGACTGAGACAGTGGGGGGGCGTTCAGGGCCGCTCGGCCTCTGTGTAAGGGAAGGGGCTGGCGGGCTCCCTCCCTGTCTTCGCAGCGACTGTCTCCTCTCCCCGGGGGCGTCTTGTGCTTCTCCCCTGGTTCTCCGTCACACTCTGGGCACGGGAAGTCGGTTTTCAGTAAATGTCTTCAGCAGAGTAGGGGCAGCCATCTATTTATTTGGATCTGTGTGGCTCTGTTCTTTAGAAGAACACCTGACGTTTTACTGTCTCGTGGCTCGTATGAGGGTACCCTCTCACCGTGTCATAAACTGAGCATTTGGTTGGATGTTGTGAAGAATATTGTCTATGTTGTGTGCCCCAGAACCATACAGAACTGGTTGGAAATCCTAATATAATTACTGAATACCCGTGTGAATTTGCATAAATCGTCCCAAGCCTCTAAGCCACTATTTCCCACCTGCAAATCAGGGCAATAGCGGCTCCTTCCTAAGTTGTGAGGCCTCCGTGCTTTAACGCACTGCCTTATTTAACACAGGGCCTGCAACATGGTAGACGATTGGCCAGTTGTAATTGTAATTCCTTTCACATTCAGGCGCCTTTTTCCCTGAAAGGAAAGCTGTATTTTCCAAGCCATCAAAATTTTTGGCACAGAGCCCTGGCTGGTGTAACTCAGCAGATTGAGCACCGGCCTGCAAACCAAAAGGTCGCTGGTTCAATTCCCAGTCAGGACACATGCCTGGGTCGTGGGCCAGGTTCCCAGTGGGGGCTCTCAAGAGGCAACCACACAGTGATGTTTCTCTCCCTGTCTACTCCTCCCTTCCCCTCTGTCTTAAAAAAATTTTTTTTCTTGGCACAGAAAACTCTGCTCCCCATGGTCTCTGGAGAGTAAAACCTCATCACCTCACAGCAGCCCCTCCGTAGGCAATTGGAAGCTCTGGCCGTTAGAAAGTTTCTTTGCGTCAAAGAGCCATCGGCCTCTGATTTCAGGAAAGGGCAAAGCCGGCTCCCAGCCCTCGTGCCCGTTGCTGACACCTGAGTTTTCTCTTGCTCCGCAGCGAACAGAGTATCTGCCAAGCCCGGGCTTCCGTGATGGTCTACGACGACACCAGCAAGAAGTGGGGGCCGATCAAACCTGGCCAGCAGGGGTTCAGCCGGGTCAACATCTACCACAACACTGCCAGCAGCACCTTCCGAGTCGTCGGCGTCAAGCTGCAGGACCAGCAGGTGAGTGCCAGCGTCACGGATGATGATGATGCCCCTGAGCCTGCGCCCCGCACACACGTGCACTGACGCACACCGGTGTGTAGTGAAAAGAGGTAAAATAAATAAATAAATAAGGTCGAGCTTCGGAGTCAGAAGATCTGGGTTCAAATTCTTACACCAGCCCTGGCCGGGAGGTTGGGCCAGGTGGCGCATCAGTCATCCCTGTACCCCAAGGTCACAGGTTTGATCTCCAGCCAGGGCACACGCCAGAATCAGCCAAATAAATGCGTGAGTAAGCAGAACAACAAATTGATCGATCTCTCTCTCTCTAATCAATAAATAAAAAAGGTTTTTTATTTGCTTCTAATGTAATTTTAATTCACATTTTCTATTTTTTTATTTAATCTTTAGTATATGTTTTTCCATGACCATTTAGTCTCCTAACAAAAATTTTTTTTTTTTAATTCTGACTCCATGTTCTCGTGCAGCAAGGTCCAAGACCTTGGACAAACCGTCTTTTCTGAATGTCACTTTCCACGTACAGGCAGCGACCCACACCCTGCATGCCTCACTGTGTTACTGTTGTGTTGGGATAAAACGACAGGTGTGGCAGGTTTGAAAGGACATGTTGTACAGATACTTTGGTTTTGTTTTGGGCCTACATGTCCATGAGCAACAGGACCGTGAAGATTTTGGTTTATCCGCCCGCGCGGTGTCCCTTTGGAAGGAGCATCAAGGTGGTGCGAAGGGTCCGGGAGCGTCCCTGTCCCTGTGGTACGTCCTGGACGAGTCAGACGGGACAGCCTATGGGTGCCCCGTGAGCACCTCCGCCCAGCCAGGGCCGGACCGCCTGCGGCAGGAACGGTCGCGCGCATGTAACCGAGACGGAGTGGTCTGGTGCGACGGGGGCCAGCACGGTGACGTGGAGAAAGGGTTTGTGTGGCCCGACCACAGCGACCTGGGTCCGCACCTCACTGCTGTCCCTCCGGCTCTCCTCGTAGAGGCTGACAGGGACATTTTTAGCAGTGAAATCATCAGACCCGTAGTTTCGGCATTTGTGGAGAGTCTACCTAAATAAATAGCGTCTCTGACATCCTTTGTGGGTCAGGCCGTGGCTAGGCTGAGCAGCAGGTGAGCTGCTCCCTGCAAGAATCGGCGGGTTCGCAATGAGAAAAGGGAGAACAGAAACTCGAGCCTGTATTTTTAGTGGGCTGCTGGTTGAAGGTGTTTCTGCTTCGGCCAAATTGAGTTTCAGATTCTTGTGGCTGACAGAGGCCACAGTCCCCCCTTCAGGGCCCCTGATGAAAGGCGGTCTGCCTAACCTGGAACTCTCGGCACCTTTGAGAGGCATCTCCTTCCCTCGATGAGGTTTCTCTGAAAACCTTCTAGAAGCTCTTTCCTGTTCTTCCAGTCCATGGGTTCTGGCTCTGCCTTTGCGAGGCGCTCGGCACCACACACTGAGGGACACAGCACCCTTAGTCCCACTTACGGTGACAGCCAAAACACCTTACACATTTGTGTGACACCCATGGGTGGGGGCTGGCACGGCATACCACCCCGGGGCCCCATGCCTTTGACATAGGTCCATTACCTAGTGCAGTTTCTGAGTCATAGTGGGTGCTCCCTAAGCACTTGCTTTTATTATGACCAGTTTTCCATCCCCTTCATGCCTCTTGGTGGCCCTCCCGGGGCCACTGGGAAGATGGCACAGTGTGCTGGAAAGGGCACAGGACCGGAAAACAGGGTTCCGGGGGACCGGCGTGCGTCCCGTTCTCAGGAGCCTCCTGCAGAGGAAAGCACGAGTGGGGGCTCACTGGGGAGGAGAACTTTCCCCAGGCAGGGAGGCTCTGGCAGGAGTCCTCCGTGGTCTCCGGGACAGATTCGGAGGGGCCGTACTGACCCTAACTCGCAGCCCTGGAGTGTGACAGAGGAGTCACTGACACCACCTCCCACTGGGACTGCATATTCAAGACACGGGTCCCCAGGGTGTGGCGGAGACCCTCCCCGATGGATGGGGCGTGTTGGCCAGCGCCATGAAAGAGATTCTTAGTAAGCCAAGGCACCAGTGGGAGTGGCGGGAAACCTAGTTCATAAGAACCTGTATGGACCTCAGGAGCAGAGACCCATTTTCACAGGTCGGTTTCACCGTCAGTATGGTTACAAGGTCAGACATTCTGGGGCAGACAGAGATTCCTCGTGTTACGGCCACATAGGGGTATCGTCCACGCTTCATCCCTTCACAGTGTACGGGGCGCTTTTCATGTCTGAGTGACCCCGTGGGGATGATGGTGCGAGAAGTACCACCGAGTTGTAGTAACTGTAGTTACTTTTAGTTATTGTACTTGGTTGTTTTTACTTCATTATAGTCATTGTTAATGCCTGTTTTCCCTTTCAGCTTTAGGTTCTGATTCTGCCTGTCTGTCCCCTCCCTCAGAGTTCCGTTCACGTCGGTCCTTGCGCTCCGGGCAGAAGAGCTGCTCTGAGCGCTTCCTGTGATGCGGGCCTTGTGGCGGCAAGTTCCCGCAGCTTTCGCTTGTCCGGGAGAGTCTGCGTCTCTCCTTCGTGCGTACAGGGTCGCTGTGCTGGGTACGGTATTCTTGGCTGGCGGTTTCTCACTTTCCATATTTTTAATATTTCCCTGCACTCTCTCCAGGCCTGTAGGGTTTCTGCTGAGAAATCCGATAAGAATAGCAGGGTGTCCTTTGGAGGTTACTGTCCTTTTTCCCCCAGCTGCCTGGAGAATTCTTTCTTTATCATTAACTTGTGACCATTTATAATGTGACTTAGAGGAGGTCTTTCTGTGTTGAGATAATTAGTTGTTCTGTTAGCATCTCATACTTAAACATCCGATTCCTTCCCTAGGTTTGGGAAGTTCTCATCAGATATTGCTTTGAAGCCCTGGCTGGCGTAGCTCAGTGGATTGAGCTCAGGCTGCAAACCAAAGCATCGCAGGTTCGATTCCCAGTCAGGGCACATGCCTGGGTTGCAGGCCATGGCCCCCAGCAACCGCACATTGATGTTTCTCTCTCTCTCTCTCTCTTTCTCCCTCCCTTCCCTCTCTAAAAATGAATAAATAAAATCTTTTATAAAAAATTGCTTTGATTAGGCTCTCTGTTCCCGCCTACGTCTCTGCCCCTCTGGGACACCCCATGTCGTGTGGCTCTTCCCGATGGGGTCAGGTCATTCTCATGGAGTTCTTTCATTTCTTCACTCTTAGTTCTCTCTCTGTTGCACCCGAGTCATTTCTAGGTGTTCGTCTTCCCGCCCATGAGCCTTCCTTCCCGTCCGGGCTGCTCTGTGGTCTCCAGGGCTCTCTACGCATCCTTCGTCTCATGTACCAAGCTCTTCAGTTCCTGGATTTCTGTTTGATTGGGTTTTTTTTGTAGTTTCCATCTCTGTGGTCAAGTACTCCTTGTCATTAATTGTATTCCTAAACGCATTGAACTGCCTTTCTGAGTTTTCTTGTCCCTTGTTGAGTTTCTTCCTTGCTGCAGTCTTGGATTCCCTGTCATTTCCATCCCAGTCTTCCACGACTTTGAGGTTGGTTTCTGGGGACTTGTCATTTTCTGTACATTCGAGATAGTGCACTCTTCTTGTTTAGATGCCGTTTTAATCTGAACAGTTCAGTAGGTTACTAGAGGTCTTTCTTTTGTTTTCCAACAGATGGTGCTATAGAGCAAACTTTTGTTTTCTCTTACCCTGCTACTTGGCCTCCCAGGTCACCGTGTGGGGGCGCTGGTATTGTGGAAATTGACTCCTGGGTGACCAAGGTGGTGAGCGTGCCCCCTACGCCCGGGTCGCGTCAGTCTTGGGGCACCGCTGTCACGGCAGGTGTGGAGGAGCCAGGTTCCCGAGAGGCAGCACTGACTCCCGTTCCTGACGGGCCGACAGCCCCAGGAGCCGCTGTGCTGTCGGGTGCCTCTCTGCTGCTGCTGCTGCTCCTGGCCGGGGAGAGGGAGCTGGCCTCAGGACCACCGGCGTTGCTTCCGCCCCCTCACCTTCCGTCGGGCGTGGCGTGGGGGCTGCAGCTGCCTCCTCCACTGCTGCTGCGTTAGCTGGGGCCCTGGCAGCCGCTGGACTACAGCCACAGGCGCTGCCCCCGCCCGCCCTTCCTTCTGTCCCACACCCCCCGCCTGTTCCCGTACGCCCCCTTCAGATGCACTGACGCGTGGGTCCCTCGGGTGTGTTTGTGGGTGGAGCAGATGAACCTTCGTGAGACTATCAATGTCCAACTTGTAAATTTGAGGGGAAGTACAGAGGGTTCTTCTCACACCTCCACGATGCTGATGTCACCGGGGAGTGAAAGTCGGCAGAGCCTCTCTGAGAAGTGCGTAGACAGACCTCACCGAAACTCAGCGCACTCCTGCACCTGCTGGAAGACACGCACGGAAACATTCACACTGTTGTTCGTACTAGCCGACCCCTGGAGACTACACAGATGTTTGTTGACAGGAGAATGGGTTGGGTGTTTGCGGTAAATCAAAAGATGGAATGTTATGTGGCGATCTGAACTGATTAAACACTTATAAAGGCAACGACGTGGATGAATCACATAGACATTATGTTGCGTGAGAGGAACAAGAGTGCACACCATAGGAATCCATTTCTGTGTCATGCAGGAATAGGCAGGATCTGCCTTTTGACCCAGTGACCCCCCTTCTGGGAGTATGTCCGAAGGAAACCAAAGCACTAACTGGAAAGAACGTGAGCACCCCTGTGTTCATTGTAGCATTATTCATAATCGTCAAGATAGGGAAGCAGCCCAGGTGTCCATCAGTAGACGAGTGGATAAAACAACCACGGGGCATTTACACAACGGAATACTACTCAGCCATAAAAAAGAAGAAGAGTTTACCCTTTGCGTCAGTGTGGACGGACCTGGAGAACATGAGGCTCAGTGAAACAAGCCAGGCAGAGAGAGACAAATGCCGTGTGATTTCACTCGCGCGTGGAATCTAAAGAACAAGCTGAACGGAGAAGCGAAACAGAGACAGACCCGTGGAGAGCAGGACGACAGCGAAGGGGTGGGAGGGCTGATCAGAAAGGAAAGAGACTCATGGACAACAGTGTGGTCACTGGGGCTGGGTACGGGGGGACTAAATGGTGATGGGGGAAATTTTAAAAATAGGCAGCAGTAACTGATGGTGACGACGGTCGGAGACACGGTCACCTCTGGGGAGGCGTGTCGGGGGCGAGGTGTTCGGTGAAGCCGCCCCCCCCCCCCCCAGTGGACTTGCACTAGCGCACACATTCTGAGTGGAGCAGACAAAGGAGGGGAGCCAGTGAGCGGACAGAGAGATTTTGACTGGCAGCCCGTTCTGCTCACTGGACTGCCCCCGTCTCCCTTCGCTGTAGGGTAGCCCAGACCCACCTTCCACACGGGCAGGGCACGGGCAGAAGCTCTTCTGGGTAGTGTCCATATCGCTGCCCTCTGGCCTCCCTGCACCCGACAGCCCAGCGCAGGCAGCAGTGCACGGGAATCACCGTCCGGGGCCCCAGCCCGCTAGCAGGGTGTCGTGGCCACGCCCCTTCGCCAGCGTTTCCCCCTCGGTGTTCCGCGGACCGTGTTGAAAAGCCGCCTGGGCACGCTTTCCCCTGGTGACCCCGCCCCTCTGCCGGTCCGTGGTCGCCCCGGGGGACGCGGTATCCTTGCCCCACGGCAGCTCCCTCCAGCTCACTTACCTTTTATTTATTCAGATGTATTTCTCTTTCTTTCCCCCTCCAGGTTGTGATCAATTATTCAATCGTGAAAGGGCTGAAGTACAATCAGGCGACACCGACCTTCCACCAGTGGCGAGACGCCCGCCAGGTCTATGGCTTGAACTTCGCCAGCAAGGAGGAGGCGACCACGTTCTCCAACGCCATGCTGTTCGCCCTGAACATCATGAACTCCCAGGAGGGAGGTGAGCGGGGCTGCGTGCGGGCTGTGCCGAGCTGCCGCTCCTCCGTGGGCGCGCACAGAACTGCTGCCTGACTCTTAAGCTTCAGGAGAGACTAGCAGTTCGAAGGCAGATGGGGTGACATTGGCATCTCTGGCCGCTGGTGAGCTGCGGATTTGCTCCGGCGAGTTCCTACGGCCGTCTGCCCAGGCCTGGTGTGCGCCGGCCGCCCCGCATCCACGTCCCAGGGAGTGCACTTGGCAGAGGTGGGGGGGGGGTGAGCGGCAGTGTGTTCTTGAGCTCAATTACTTGCATGCCTGACAAGCTCCTGCTGCGTGTCTGCCGCATGGAAGAACCCAGTGGGCAGACTCCGCAGGAAGTGCATGGACGAGCCCTTCCCCTCAAAGGCACTTCGTATTTGGGAGTAGACAGATTCCTAACAGGTTACAGTGTCCTGTGACACGTGTGCGCATGGGCCGCCAGGGGAGGCTTTGCCGGGTGGTGACACGCGGAGGGTGAGGAGGAGGTCACTGGGTCGGGGGAGAGCGGGCCTGAGGGGAGGGAGCAGCACACATACGAGCACCGGCCGTGTGGCTGGGTATGTGCTGGGAGAACGGCACCGCAGCGCTCCCGCGGGCCTGGGCCCACGGAGGGAGGGAGAGGCTGGAAGGGAAGCGGGAGGCGGCGGGGACTCGCAGTGAAAGGCCCCGAAGACCTGCAAGGCTTGGGTGTGCTTGGTGCTTGGTGCGGACGGGCCGGGGCGGCACTTGAGCAAAGGCCCCGCGCAGGTCAGTTAAAGCAGGGAGCGAGCGGGAGTGTGTGTGTGGCTTTCACTGGGAGCTGGTGGTGTCGGCTCGAGGGAGGACTGCGGCCTTCGAGGGCGTGTGCGGCGGCAGCCGCGGACCCGGTCCCGCCCTGGGCTGCAGACCTTGACCCCCGCCCCACGGCTGGGCGCGAGTCCTGCTTCTGCTCAGGAGCCCACGGACGCGTGACTTTGTGTTTCTGTGCTTTGTTTCCTTATCTCTAAAGTGGGGAGGGTATTTTTGCATCTTAGCTGGAGTGTAAACCGTTCAGCAGACTGCCTGACGCGCACTGATCCCCCCCGTATTAGTGTTGCGAGCGCCGTCACCATCACTGCTGTTGCCGCGGCCACAGTTGGGGCGTGGGGAGCGGGGAGATGTGGTGCCCAGGACCTGGACGGAGGTGGCTTCTGGACACCCGTGTCCTGACACACCGCGGCCGTGGGCCCCTGTTTAAACCGGAGAGGAGTTTTTTAGAGTGATGAAGAGCACACTTCAAGTGTGCTTCGAGTGGGTCGTGCACAGACCCCCGGGGTGCTCCCCCGCAGTGACGCGGCTCCCGGCGTGTGGGTTTTCTGCCGTGGACTCGGGGCGCGTGGTAGGGGAGCCTCTCAGCCACGGCGCGTGGAGCGGCCAGCACGGGGCGTGGAGTGTTGTGGGTGCCAAACAAATGTTCACTAGGCATTTTTCCCCCGAGAGCCTTGAACTTCGCAGTAACGGGAGCTGAGCTAAAGTTCCGATCTGAACTACCTCACCTGCCGCCGGATACGCGAGTTACGCTGTATTTATTTGCACCCATGGATACATTGTGGGGCAAAAAAAAAGAAAAAGAAAGAAAAGAAAAGGGGTTTAATTGAATCAGACTACTGACTCTTTCAAAGCAACCACTTAAATTAGATAAAACTAGTGACTTGATTAGATTCACCACAGAATCCCAAAAAAATCCATTCATTCACCTTGTTTTCGTAGAAGAAAGCTGTGGCCCGCCCGTCATGAGGAAGTAACCTGGCAGTGTCGGGTAGTGACTCAGACTCAGAGCCCAGACCCGGGTTGAACGATGTCTTTGTTGGGGTCACGGTAGGTTCACAGTGTGAGAGTGGCCTGATTCCAAACCACAGCCGAGAGCGGCGGTTGCCCGTCGGGTTAGCTGGCCGTGACCTGATCTGCCTGTGCAGGCGAGCTGCGGCGGAGGAAACCCCTAAGCCCACTAAGGATTGTGTTTTCTTCCTCACCTGAGGCATAACCTGCCGACAGCAGGTGCACACAGCTGAGAAGTGCAGCTGGAGGGGCTGTGACATGCACCTCCCTCCCTCCCCCAGCTGCCGTCAAGTGGCGTCTACAATGTCTAGTTGTCCTCCGTGGAAGAGACCTTGGTGGCGGGGAGTTGGCCAGCCTGATTCTGGGCCTCGGTTTCTGCGTCTGTGAAATGGGCGGTGTGTCTGCCCCCGAGCGAGAGGATGAGTAGATGGCGGGGTAAGGAAGCTCCTGAGACACACGGCACACCGTGGTGTGAGGGGCTGTGATGGCGACCAGCGGCGGCGGCTTCACCGTGTCCCCTGCGACCACAGCACGTGCCTCCCCTGCCGCAGAGCCGGGAATCTCTGGGCCGCTCGGCCCCGTGGGTGCTCCCTCGAGTGTGGCAAGAGCCTGGCCTGGGCGTCAGGGGTCTGGCTCACGGCCCGGTTGGCCACCGCCTGGCACGTTGTTTCAGGCCTGTCTCAGCCCCGGCAGGCACCGGGCTGGACTGGGGGGGTCGTCCCCAGCAGGGGCGGCGGGTGATGGGGGGGTCTGCCCGGGGCGCAAGGCTGGCTCCGCGTGTCCCCCGCACGTGGCGGTGAAACACAGGATTGTCTGAGCCAGAGCTGAACCCTGTTTAAGAAGAAGCCTCTCCCTCGCCCTTTTTTTTTTTTTTTTTTTTTTTACCAGTTTTAGTACTTGGTGAGTTTCTAGGATCGCAACCACCACATGCTTCAAAGGGTGCGCACAGGGCGAGGGGTGGGCGCCTCGGAACGGTAGAGCCGGCAGTGGAAGGCCCGGCACAGCCGGGACAGAAGCGCTGCCGTCAGAGACGTCTGTGCTTCCAGTTTTGGGGTGGAACGCAGTGAATTTCGAAGTGGTCATTTTGAGCAGTTCCAAGGGTCCACACCCTAATGCAACCAGAATAGTTTCATGTTTTTATACCCACTGGGACTCTGGGAAAAAGAAGAAAAACCCGGTAGCCCAGTGGACACCCATGCAGGGTGAATTAAGGCACATGGCGAAGTGCTTGTTTCCACCAGCCCCTCGGGATGTGACGGTAGAGCTGTGTCTGTCCGTCGGCCTGCTTGCAGCAACACCGCTGGTGGGTTCCAGGTGTGGCCCTCCTGGGGCTGGGGCTGGGTGTCCTCCCCGCTCTTCCCGGGTGCTCAGCTGGCACCCGAGGACAGTCCGCACACGCAGGGGGAGGAGCCAGGCAGGGCCCCTCGACAGGCAGCCGTTCCCTCGCCTTGTCCCGCACAGGGGCTTAGGGTCGGGGCCGAGTTTTGCTCCTCATAAACTGGGCCGTCCGGCTCACCCGAGACGCAGGAAGCAGGCCTGGCACCACCCGCCTGAAAGCTGAGGAGGCTGCTCCTGGTGCCACCCCCACGCCCTTGTCCTCCTTCCGCCGCCCACTGCCCTCCGGTGGCCGCCTCCCCAGCGCCCGGCCAGCTGCTTCTGGTGCGGCCTCTGCTCGGAGATGCGCCCGGGAGCAGGCAGGCCCTCGCCCGCCTTCTCGCAAGTCACACGAGGGGCCGTGGCCAGTTTTCAGGGTGCCCCGGGCTGCCGCTCCCTCTCACATCCCCCAACACCTGGACGCGGTGAGGGCTTCCCGGCCGCGTGACAGAACCCCCTTCCCCAGGCCCCACGGGGCTTTGCTCGTGCCCCTTCCTGACCCCGAGCACCACCGGGCGCGTCCCGTTGTCCCGGCGAGGGAACCCGGTCAGGTCGGGAAATCAGACAAGGTCCTCCCTGTCCTGGGACCCTTGGACACCAGCCCTCTGTCTAGGCCGTGGGCTCCTGCTGCATCTGCATCGGGTGGGTGGGCAAACCGAGACCCCCGGCGCTGGCCGGCCACGGGACTCGGAGCCCAGGCCCCAGCCCCACCCTGGGGTGGTACTGCCTCAGCCCCACACCCTCGTCGTCTCCCCTCGGAGCGTCGGAGCAGGGCCCTACCGTCGGAGCAGGGCCCTACCGGTCAGCCTCCCTCCCCTTCTTTAACCGTCCTCCCTGCGGGCACTTGTTTCTCATGTGACCTTTCTGAAGGTCATCTCAGCAAGGCTCTTCGTGGCCTGGCTCCTGCCTCCTCTCGGTGCTCCCTGCTTTGTGTCGCACCACGCCAGACCGGGCGGCCCCCCGCCGGGCACCCCGCCCCTTGCCGTCCCGCTGGGTCGCAGCTCGTGGTTTGCTCCCTAGACTGTGAGCCCTCCGTGGGCAGGCGCCCTGCCGCAGGGCTGTCGCCCACCCAAGGTGCTGGGTGACACGGGCCCACCGGTCTGCTCCCGTGTCTGTTTCCTGTGCTCCCAAGCCTGGCGCCTCCTGCCGTCGCAGCGCCCCCCGCAGACCCGGACGCCGCTCCTGCACCAGCGCTGCCGCTCGCCCGTGCCCGTGACCGACACTGGGCGCAAGGTGAGGGGTGCTATCTGTGATTGAGGGACATGGCAAATGGAACTGTCTCACACAGAAATCGCACCCGTCACCTTGGCCCGCCTCGCACCGCCCCTCACGGAGGAGCACCACGGCCCTGGGACCACCGCCCTGCCGCCGCCGGAGCCCCGAGGGGCGCGCATCGGACGTGGACTCAGACCGACCCGGTTCGGGTCCGGCCCGTGCCAAGGGCGTGCGCGCGCCCTTGGACAGGCCACCTCACCGCCCTGAGACCGTTCCTACCTCACAGGGTTGTTGTGAGGAATGCATGAGATGGTGTTGGTGAAGACTCTTTGTTCCCTGCCAATTGCTGTAACTATTCGAAGTCGCTTTTTAAAAAATATTTGAAAAGTCAACCATATCAACCCCTGGGGTGACGCCAGCAGCCCGTGCGTTGGGTGGGACCCTGGGGGCCGGGCTGTTCGGGCTTGACCCGGGCCTGCGGGACTGCGCGCCGGTGGGCAGGACCGCATGGTCGGGAGAGTTCCGGCGGCACAAGCCGACCTTGGTGGGTTGGTGGTCCCAGGAGAGGGCCTCCCTCTGCACGTTGGTGGGACTGTG